GTCTAATAAGTTATTTAAACGCGTGATAGTCGCTTCTTTTGGGCTTGTTTCCATAGCCCTTGTTGCTTGTTTCTCTCCCAAGATCTGGCAACACAGCCGGCCGGCAAGTAGCAACAACAACAATGGTGGCGTCCACAGGATCTCGGAGAGCTCATTGTGTTTGGACCCAGGATGATAAAGAATATCCATGCCTTTACTATGTGTGGTCTCAAAGTTTGGTGACATCACTGCGTTATCTGGGGCTCTGTTGGCGACAGCTCAGTGGAGGAATCTTGTGGTGTGCACACAGGTTGTAACGCAGTTGGCGAGACTCCCGCTGACAGAAACACGTCGCCAGGTATGAACACTCAAAAGATTATGATAGTCTCCACGCTGCAAAATCAGGTTGAAAATCGTGTAATGTGAACTAGGCTTTAGGTGTGTCTGTACAGGAGACCAGAGAGAAAGGTGTTTTTCAGAATCTCTGTGCGTCAGGCTTATAGTACTTTTGTAGCTTCTAATGGAATCTCTGTTGTTTGGAGTTAAGGTTCTTTCCTGACTCCCTGTTTGTGGATATCAGCTTTATTTTACTGTGGCATGGTCACTTTAAGCTGTACAGGGGTCATATTGAGTTACTTTTAATAAAAACTCAATATTTCCTTATTTTACCGATTTGCAATAAAAGCTTTTACATAAAAAGTAATGGGGAAAAATTATTGTGAAGAAAAGCAAACATCAAAATTAACGGGGGACTTAAGTCATGGATCAGCCCGCTGCTTTTAAACATCACTCAAGACAAGCCGTCATCAGATAAAGACACACCTTCAAGGAAGTAGCCCTGTTGTAATGGAAACGCAAATCCCTGCCACGCTTGGCTGATGGCCCACGCCAAGCCAAGCCAGCCCATGATTGTCTAAGTGATACTGGTTGTCCTCCATCCACAACTTGATTAACTTGGCTGTGAGGCATTCAACATTGCCCTGCTGGGAAAAAAACAATCCCCCCCCCCCTTTTTTTTTCTTCAGGATGACCCTGTATGTGGCTTGATTCATGCATTGTTCATTAAGACAAATCTGTCCAATTCCAGCCTTGCTGATGCACGCCGAGATCACTTCCCATTCTCCACCAAATTTTACAGTGGGTACGACACATTATGGCTTGTAGGCCTCTCCAGGTCTCCGTCTAACCATTAGACGACTAGGTGTTGGGTGGTGATGTTGGGCAAAGCTGAAATTTGGACTCATCAGAGAAGATGACCTTACTCCAGTTGTCTGTGGTCCAATCTTTGTGGTCTTTCGCAAACCTCAGCCTGGATCTTCTTTTTCTCTTACTGATGAAGGGCTTTCTAGCCTTGCATGACTTAAGCCCTGCCTCTAGGACTCATTCTGTTTTGAACTGTCCTCGCTGTGCACTTTGCCCGAGCTGCCATTGGTCATTCTGTTTCTTGGTCACTTGATTTAATCTTACAGTTGTTTGGTGGTATTTGAAAGAATTGGCGGTCATCCCAGTCACTAAAGAGTCATTTTCCAATCTGCCTGTCTGTAGCTTTATTGTGCCAAATGTCTGCTGCTTGACCTCAGTCTTGTGGACTGCTGTCTTTGAAATTTTAAAGATGGAAGCAACCCAGGGTCCGACGTTAAGGTTTTTTCCTACTTGCCCTTCCAGGCAAGTACTTAAATCTACTTGCCCCATCTAAATTCTTACTTGCCCTGCCTAAGAGGTTCTTTTTCTGGCTGTGTGGTGCATATTTTTGCTCATGACTTATATCTTACGTCAGCAGAGATGCTCAGCCAATGGAGGCAGCAGCACATAAAAAAAGCAGCACACTGCAACTGGCCCCTCCGAGGACAGAAACAGGAGAGGAAATACACGATTACGGGCCTGGAATTAGGATATTTTTAGGGCAAGGCCACTTTTGCCTTTGATAAATACAAATTTATTGGGGCATCACAGCCAAAATGTGGGGCACCAAGGCCAAAACCAATGGCACAATAACAATATGTGCTAACTACATTAAATGAAGACAAAACAATATGTGTTGAAAAACAGTACTGAGTTTAATAAAACTGGGTGTGCATGACTGGGGATATATCTCGTTTCTTGTTGTTTTGATTCATGTCCCTTATTTTTTAAGTCTTTGAAATCTCTTTATTCTCCTAGTTATTACTAGGAGACTGCATTTGACCCATCCTACTGTATACACGCAGTGCATACGCAGTGCAGCGTCTGGGGACCAACTCCAGTTCTTTTGCCAATGCCAGTGGTCAGGGTCACTGACAGGAGTATTCACCTAACATAGCCTATATATCTTTAATTATATAATTATTTATATGTCTCTATGTACATTTTTACATAAATCCCCAATATTTTATTTGACTTTAAAAAAATCCTCTTCCTTCATTTAATTTGACAATGTTTATTGTATTGTATTATATGTATTAATTCTCTACAGGATCTTGTATGTTCTTTAATGTGTGTTCAATTTATTGAAAGAAAAGAAAAAAAAACTTTTGGTGAACCCTGCAGCAAAGTGAACCCTCTTCCTCAGAGAAGATCTTTGCCTCCCAGTTTGTTCCAGGTGGCAGAGCAGAGTGAACCGTCTTTCTTCTCAGAGGATCTTTGTCCCATGAGAGCAGGCACTAACAGCTGCTCTCCGTGTCCGCGATTTAAAACAAATTTCGCTGGCGATTTGACAGTCACTAGAAGCACATTATGACCCTTTTGTAAAAGTTTCTGTGTTGGTACCTGTGTTGTACATGAGCTAACATTAGCGGCTAAGGACTGAGAGGCTGTCCGGTATATAAGTGTGTGTGTGTGTGTGTGTGTGTGTGTGTGTCTGTCTGAGGAGTGTCAGTACGTTAACTTGTTAGCTGTAGCCTTGCTGTTTGTCATGTTAATGTTAAAAAAACAGGGCATGCTACACTGGCCATATGGGTAGGAGGGGCATTACGGCCACACTCCGGGTATAATTCCTGCCCTGCGATTAGGGAAAAAAAAAAAAAAAAAAAATTCCGAGTCGGTGCCCTGTTATTGCCATTCTGCTGGTCCCATTGCAAAAGGATAGTGATGACCACAGTCATGGTTTGTATATTTTGCCTTGCTAAACAAGATTTGATTCAGGTGATCACCTGGGGTCTCATTTATAAACATTGCGTACACACAAATAGGGGTGAGTCCGTGTACATGTGTAAACGTGTACACGTGTTTGAGATCATAAACGGTTATGAAAAATTAGTACACAAAAGAGCCCTTCTGGTGCCAGTAGATAGAAACATGCCAGCAGGCTGTGCTTTGCAAGCATACAAAAAAGTTTCGCTCATATTAAGTATTTTTTTGTGCGCGTGCTTCACCTCCGCTGCTACAACTCCATCCTAGGGGAAACACTGCAGGCTGAAATTGGCATTACATCCTCACACGCAGCCGCAACGACGGTCAAGCTGCACATAGCCTGCAGAGTTTAACTGGAAAGGAGTGAAGTAGCCTTTCACTAACACAACATAATGTGGTCCTGTTTATCTTGGAAGGTGACGGCTCAAACACATAATTAGCATTACCATGAACCTTTTCATTCACTCTGAATGGGTGAGTGTTGCATCCGTATAGGTTTCAGTCACTCAGATCATCACACCAAGTGGGCTATACGAACTTTTGATGCAAACATTCAACAACACATCGTCACTGTCGATTTCTGAACTACCTCGTAAAAGGGACATTTTACAATTCCAATCATATCCAATCAAGCTTTATTTCTTAAGCACCTTAAAAACAACCACAGCTGAAACAAAGTGCTGTACATCAAGAATAACAATTCTTAAAGAGGCAACAGACAACATTTTTTCCTAAATATATCATTATGAAAATAATGATATATTGCACAGGGTAGTGGCCACAGTAAAATCAGACTATCAGCGTTTACATAGGTTACTTAGTGGCTTTGTAATCTTTGTAATAAACTTCTGCCACCAGTGCCGAAATTTCGTGGAAAAAAATCTGCTTTACGGCAGGAAACGCATCATGTATTGTATCTCTCTCTCTCGTATTCTATTACTGCATCTTGCTAACTCGGCCTTTCT